GGACTCCAGGATCACGACCTGAGCCGAAAGCAGTCGCTTAACCAACTGAGCCACCCAGGCGCCCCAGTTAGTGTGCTCTTTAACCATCATTACAGGCCCCTAAATCTGAACTTCTCAAGGGCCAGGACATCACCTTGTTCACCTCTCCCAACACACTGCGAGTATCAGGCCTCACCCATTTGTTAAACTAATTACTACCCTCCTGCGCTTCAGGCACCGCAAAACAGTTTCAAGAAATCCCTGAGAAGAAAGGCTGTTTGTTACGCTTTGTACATCGCGCCGGTCGGAAGTACGAGTATACCGAGTATACTGCAGTCACGAGCCACCGTGCCCTTTAAAACTCTGGCAAATTCCTCGGACTATGCCACGCGTGAGAACTGTCATGCTCACCTTCTTTTTGGACACGGGACGACCCCGAGGTCTGTCGTAGGCGATGCGAACTGGTTCATGAACTGGAAAACACAAGAAACACATCCGTACCCACACACGTCACTCAGAAGACGCGAGTGCCGCAGTTCAGGCTCGGCCGCCGGAAGGGAGCCACCGCCCGCACCACGGCCCACCGGCCTGCCTCCCAGGAATGACGGGCCCGCGGGCACAGAGGCGGGAACACGCGGGCCCAACTGAGGGCTGCTCGGTGGGGAAGAGCCTACTTTAACGTAGGACTTCCCGCGTGTATGACGAAGGGCTCCATGCGTGGATTGTCTTCCATGGCTGCAAGACCCCGTTTTGTTTCAATAAACTATCTGCCATCTCCTGCCCTCCTAGTGTCTCTGCAGCAACTGTTCCACTGATAAAGAGTTAAAGTCTGCAGAGAATTTTCCAGTAAAGCAACCATGCTTCTCATACAGAGCACTGAATCACATTACAGCCTTATTTTTGATGGAGAGATCAGCAGGGCTGCTTTTTTTCTCATCAACCACCCAAGGAACTGAGAGCTTCTGAAATAGAAGAAGCTCCACTTCTCCCCCTCGTGGGACATGAGGCATTCGGAGAGGCTGCCGCCATCAGCAGGAAGTTGTGACGGACGTCCGAATTGGGTACAATAGCTGGCAACCCGTGGTAACGCCAAGGTTCCCAGACACAAACCACAGGACTGTTCCATCGGCAGGGGAAACTGAACTGATGCTCCTGGGTGAGTGTGACAGTGTCAACAATGCAGAGCACCCACGTGACACTAGACAGGGAACTGTTCGCCACAGCCACCTCAGAGGAAGCTATGGTGGCAGGAAGCACAGCCCAGGCCTGGCTTTGTGGCGACACTGGGGCGGGGGGGGGGGCCATGAGGAACAACCTGGGCCATGGCCGGCCCGTCAAAAGGCCGCACATGATGCCATTCTGCCTACTGACAGTCTAGAAAATTTCGGCAGAACCACAAGGCCAGAAAACGGGGCGGGGACCACAGAGAGACACAGACGTTTCTGGAAAAAGGCTCTAGCTCCGCCGCACTGGAGGAGTTTATGCCTGTACACGATCTCGCCAGAACTCCTCCAACTGTCCCCTTAAAAAGGATGCGTGTTGGG